CTCTTTCAACATTTTGGGTTGCCGACCCCTGACCTCGGAGGTTGACGGAATCACCTCGATGATATTGACGATGTGATACGGCAGCCAGAAAACGGCAAAGGTACAGATGATCATCAGGATCAGCCGGCTGCCTTTGCCCCGCCGATGGAACATGGCGCTCTGGAGGCGGCAGATCACGGACGAGTAGCACGTGTTGATGAGGGAGAAGGGCACCAGGCAGCCCATGATGGTCTCGAAGGTGTACTGAAAGACCTGATGACCGACACTTCGCCAGTGGTACGGTATGCAAAATCTCAACGTGGCATTGTTCGGGAACACTTTCCTCAGGTTGCTGCACGCAGAAACACACATACACAGGAACACAAAGCTGTAATCAAGTCGCACCGCACTATCAGCGCACATGCAGGACTAACCTGCGGTAGAAGGGCATCGGAAGAGACAGCAGGAACGCCATGATCCAGACTCCCAGGAGGAGAAACAGCAGGGAGCGCTTAGTCCGCATCTTCTGGGACATGAAAGGCCGGGAGACGGCCAGCCAGCGATCCATGCTCATCAGGCAGATGAGGTAGATGGAGACGTACATGTTGACATTGCACAGGTAGTGCACCAGCTTGCAGGCCGCTGAGCCAAACTCCCATCCCTGCCCCCCAGCAAGGTAACGCAGGAATATGGGCGACGTGAGCAGCACCAAGGCGTCGGCAACGGCCAGGTTGAGTACCAGCAAGCACGTCACTGAGCGCTTTTGGACACGACAAACCACCGACCACACCACAAAGAGGTTCCCGGGGAAGCCCAGCGCAAAGGCCAAGGTCAGGATGGCGATGCCGACTTTGGCTGAGGTGCTGACGGGCAGAGAGAAGGCGGCGGTGCTGTTGGACACCATCGCTTCATCCGTTGAATGCTTTGACTTCTCTGACTGGTGTCTGCGACCTTTCAGAGATTTGAACAGGAAACAGGATATGTTGAATTAACAGCAGGCAGGCAAGCTGCATTGTGCTGAAGTGGCGTTACAACATCGCACTTTCACAATAGAGCCCCGGGACACGGTGAACAGTGAGATGAACATTCCAAACATGGTCAAGTATGAACAAAATGAAATCAAGTTACCAGAGT